GACAACTGTGATGATCTATGTATCACTATCCAACAGGAACTTACTTGATTCGGAATGGGTTTGGTGCGCAGCTTATCAGATCTTGTCTAGGTATGATGAGTTCACAGTAAAGTTTAAGCACCTTACGTTGCTCCGATGTCGTACAACATGAAGGTTTTTACTTGAATCAAATAAAACCATTCTCTAGTTATTCTAGATTCAAGGTTTAATAAGCACTGTTAATTCCACCTGTATTCCGGTGGGCAGTGGTTGACGGACAATAGAATCCGGGGTTCGATTCCCCAGCGGTGGACACAGCAGATAGCTCAATGTGGCTTCACTCCAAGACAAACAAACAATTCCACATATTTCTTTCTAACTCTTTTACCATAATTGCCCTTTAACGTCACAAATGAGAAAAGGTTCTACTGAAATTTATAGTGTAGTTACTGAAGCGCAGTTGTTACAGTAAATATAAGTATAGAGTTATTAGAATAACAGCACTACTTTTCACTGATCATAATGTTTTTAGTATCTGTAGGTCTTGTTAAGATTCAATTGAACAAAGAAAAACATAACAAAGAGAGATTTTTCGACTGAACAAATTTTCATTTTTGATGAAAAAATCAGGTTTTGAACCCGTAGTGATCACAGCACAAATAGCCCATTGTATAGCCTCGTGTTTAATAAACACATTTTTGATAAAGTTATGTATTTTCATTATTCGATGTAAAATGTTTAAAAGTATTGTTTGTAATTAAGCACAAAGCTACACAATAGGCTATCTGTGTTCTGCCCACCACGGTTATCAAAACTCGGTTTCTAGCGTTGTAAGTCCGCAGACATAGCGCTGTGCCACTGGGAGGTGTTTAAAAGTAAAACAAAGCGATGATAAAAAACAAAAAGCAAGCAAGTTAACACCATTAAACACATTGTTATAAAAACAAATACTGAAACGTACAGGCTTATGTTATAAAAGTTGAGGAAGACTCAATATACACAATTTTGTGGAGGCCACACAGGTACTATCAACTGAAGGATATTGGTATTTGTAATGACTCAATGTACACAATTCTGTGGAGGCCACACAGGTATTACCAATTGAAGGATATTGGTAATTGTAATGATTCAATTTACACAATTTTGTGGAGGCCGCACAGGTATTATCAATTGAAGGATATTGGTAATTGTAATGATTCAATATACACAATTCTGTGGAGGCCACACAGGTATTACCAATTGAAGGATATTGGTAATTGTAATGATTCAATATACACGATTTTGTGGAGGCCGCACAGGTATTATCAATTGAATGATATTGGTAATTTTAATGACTCAATATACACAATTCTGTGGAGGCCACACAGGTATTACCAATTGAAGGATATTGGTAATTGTAATATTCAAGCCTATCAATTACAGTGTTCTCTTCGATCCAAATATTGTAATCATGATCTTCCAGTTCATCCTATTTTCGGCAAATCTTTTCATTTTAACGTGTTATTTGATATTTAACTATTCTTTAAAGTTACCCATCCATCTGCGCCATTGCCGAATTTTATACCTGATATTTTCTATTCTCCCTTCTAAGATGACTTATGACGTTGTGCCACTTGATCTTCGCATCACAGGATCCAGCAACTGCCAGTTTTCTGTAGTCTTTATTCTTCATAAAATAACCAATATGCAAATACCACAGACCACCTCCCCTAACTTAGTATATAAACATATCTTTATTGATATAGATTAATATAAAAATATTATATACCGCTAACATATTTGAAATGCATTCTAAGTTTAACAGAATATATTCAGACTGACAATGCTAATTTTGCAGTCAGAAGCTTGGCCATTCCGTGTCCATTCTTTTCACCTAAGGTTAATCTACTCGATGAATATTTCAAGAGGGTTCTTGCATAACTTCTCCTTCTGTTCTTTCTTTTCGTGTAATGTTCCTAATCTCACATGAAAAATCAATCCTGGAAGTCCTAATAAGGATCAAAATTCGTAATAATTCAAAGTTATTTATTATTCGGTCAGATATTGCTCTCGTACATGTCGTGCAAACATCGGATATATTTGGTTTCAACCCAAAGAAGCCGACAAGAAAGTAAATAGCGAAAGAGTTTAAGTGACTGCCATTTCTTTATAAGATAAGTATTATTGCATATTTTCATACATCAGTATCCATTGTCATTTCGAATCTGAGCCCCCCCCCCAGTGGGACACGGTATGTCTGTGGACTTACAGCGCTAGAAACCGGGTTTCGATACCCGTGATGGGCAGAGCACATATAGCCCATTGTGTAGTTTTGTGCTTAATTCAAAACAAACAAAAAATAGAATCTGAATAATTTTACATTCTACTTGGTAAAACTGACTGAACGACCAGTTTTTGAGGTCTTTATAAGCTACCTGTTGGTTCCAGTTTCACTATAGAATACCACACAGGCAATATATAGTTTTTTATCGGCATAAAACATCCTATTACCTGAACAGACTGCAGAATCAATAATAATAAATTAGAAGATCGGCAAAATAGAGCTCTTAACACAGACTCAGAAACGATAGATATACAATCGGAACATTATTTGTGCTGTGTTTAAGTAGTTGATATCCTGATCCAATTATATATATAACAGTTTTCAAAACTGATTACTCATAAATGTAATACCCCAAAAATTAATTCATAGAAAAATTCATTATAATGTAAAAACAGTTAATTTTATATAACGAAGTTATTCAATAGCCAAAGTTTATGATCACAATCTAAGCAAGATGGTGCTGCCACCTATTGGTAATAACAAAATATAATATAAGCTAAAACAACAAATGTATTTACACAAAAATACCGCTGTGGATCTTTTTAACTTGCATTTATATGATTATATGTAAGGATTAACAATAATTTTCAGTTTCAGTATAAAATATAGGCTCTCATTAGAACGAGATAATTAACTAAATAAATCGTGTATTTGTTAGATTGAAACTTTTAACTACTACTCTCATTAGATGATTAAGACAACGTCAAATGTAGTTGTAAACGCCAGATCATATTACTTTTGAAATGTTATAATTTTTTAATTAGTGACATAACTTCACGCCTTATTATTTAAACTTGTCGGTCTCATTGGTTTGACATAACTAAAATCTTCGTTTGTTCGTAAAATCTTGCCAAAGCGGAATATATTAACAATTTCAACATTTAATAATGGTAGGAGACGGCTTGAATGGGTAATGAAGAAAACTTTAATATAAGTTTAACATAACAGCAAATCTACAACGTTTCGACGAGGTTTTGTCATGATGCTGTTATG